ATGGGATGGGATGGGATGGGATGCGGTGCGATGGGATAGGATGGTATGGGATCGGATGGCATTGGATGGCATGGCATGGCATGGGATGGCACTGAATGTGCTGAGATGGGATGGGATGGGATGGGATGCGGTGCGATGGGATAGGATGGTATGGGATCGGATGGCATTGGATGGCATGGCATGGCATGGGATGGCACTGAATGTGCTGAGATGGGATGGGATGGGATGGGATGCGGTGCGATGGGATAGGATGGTATGGGATCGGATGGCATTGGATGGCATGGCATGGCATGGGATGGCACTGAATGTGCTGAGATGGGATGGGATGGGATGGGATGCGGTGCGATGGGATAGGATGGTATGGGATCGGATGGCATTGGATGGCATGGCATGGCATGGGATGGCACTGAATGTGCTGAGATGGGATGGGATGGGATGGGATGCGGTGCGATGGGATGGGATAGGATGGCATGGAATGGGGTAGATGGATGGATGGATGGATGCATTGATGGATGCATGGATAGATAGATAGTTAGATTTTTTGGGGTATTTTCCTTTCAATCAAGCGGTCACCAGCTGAGTAACGCCACTGATTTCCCCGGGCAATGCCGGGTATCCCGCTAGTATGAAATAAAACGTAATCGCTAAGTGTCTTTCTCCTTGTCTGTCACATAAAAGCATTAGCAAATGAAATCTTTTCACAATAAGTAATTATTAAAACTACAGCAGCTCAAATATTAATGCTGAAGTAAAAGTGACATGCGACTGCTAGTATTAACTGTGGATTGACCCAAATGAAACCCGTAAAACAAACAAATTACACATCAGTCAGTGTTAACTTATCAACATATGAATTGACAGTATAAGTACAAGTTACAACGGTACTGTAAATATAACTTTGCTATAAATATTACTAGCATAAATACAGCTGTTATTCACAACTGTTATATGATATAGTCACATACAGATGGAATACTTTGATGTCTTACTGTGTTTTGCCAGGATTTACGACAGCACAGACACACGTGTATGACATACACTTCACCAACTCTGTAGTACACACTGGGTAGGGCAATCCAGCAATAATTGTGTGGGACGTATATATACGTATTATAGAAATAGGAGACAGTGGTATTGCAGGCTGCATAATGGTAGACAGTTATAATAACAATAATACAATAAAAATCCAAAAATAAAATAAAACCTGAAAATGTTGTGCTTACACGTGTTGTTGTTACACGTGTTTTACACCAGATTTTCTCTGTTTTCCTTAGGTGATGCAGATTTATTACCCATATAGCATTCAGCTAAACCAGCATAGATTTCCTGGGGAGGACCCAAGTGATTGTACCCGTGATATACAAAAGTCTCAGTAAGTATTTCTGGATTATTTAATCTCTAAAAGAAAACTGATATTCAGCTGAAACTTTTTTCATTACTTGAAAACGTTGTGTAGGATCATTGTTTGAATTCCATGTTGCACTGTTAGATTATGTTCGAGTATCTCAGTCTGTCAGAAGAAATAATTTTTTATTCTGCAGGTACTAAATAATTAATAAGTCACACCGCCACTATGAAGATGAGTGGCTAATTGTAACACACACACGAACAGCTTCTTAGTGGAACAAACCAGAGTTTATTCAAGCTAACTATTGGCACAAGAAACCAAAGCGTGTCACCTCGTTAGAGACTACGCCATTCCAGAGGCCGAGGGAGCGCCCTCTCTCGGGCTACATAAGCACCTCTCGTAACAACACTAAACACAACACTGGCGCACTTCTTTTATGTGAATGCAATCATTGTGAGCTAATTCCGTGCTAAGTAACAGGGGTAGAAATTAACTTTTGAACAAGGGAGTCCAACGGACTCGATCCCTACCTTCAAAAAGAGGGAGTCCGCAGCAAAATGAGGGAGTTCGCAGTCTGAGGTTCAAAATTAAAGATATTAACAATAACGCATGTGCTTATTTTTAAGATTCATGCAGTTGCATATCTGCCAAATTTTCTTTTGACATTAGCTGGAAAAAAACAGTAATTCCACGAGGCCATGAATTCATGAAAAGCTCATCATGATTGTTAAAAAGCTGCTCTCAAAAGTCTGCTTGGTGTTTTCAGGGCGAAAATAAAAGGCTGTCCTAATGCAGAATGGCAGGACAGTTATGGACATTACAGGGAGGCCAATTATACACAAATCAAGCACCATTGGTGGTGGAAGGTTTGTGTCTGACTGTACCCATTTATCTGCGTGATAAGTTTATGTAAAGTCTAATAGTAATTCTAACTCAAAAAATGTTATTGATCTTTCCCATTCTTTTTTTTTACAAATTGTATCACTGTACATTATATAAATCTGTAGGCAATACATTATATGTACCAAACAAAACAAACATTCACCATAAAAGGTACACACAAGCACACCCAAGCATGTAGACACCATGCTGAATTTGTAAAAAGACCCCCCCTCAAAAAAAATAAAAAGCCTACCTACGTACCCAAACTTTTTAGCCTGGGTCGGGTGAGGGCAAACAAATATTTTTTTAAATTGTGGCCTCACTGTTTTCTTTGAACCCATTTAGTAATATTCTGTTTGTAGTAATCTGGCTCGGCATTTTGTGCCGATGTAGATAGACAATCTTTTGTTTAGCTGTATATAGGTGTGCTGCCAACAATAATTTGTTATATATGCTTGAAATTGCTTTTTTTGACTTTTTGTAATAGGCATAATTTGTTACAGGTTAGCCTCATTACATAAATTGCAAATATTTAAACTTCTTGAAAGGTGCCCCTACCATAGCTAACTCAGTAACTAGTTTATTTCATCCATTATTTTAACTGCTGATGGTTATAAAACTCTTAAAGTTGCATTATCAACACACACGCACACATTGCTCGCCAAATAAATGCATGTGGCCTGTATTAATTTATTTGTAAAATATATTATTATAGTTGATTTGTAATAGAGTCAACCTCAAATATTTCGTGCATATTGTGACATAGCATAGGTTTCACATAGGTTATATAGGAGAGGGAGAGAGATGTACAGATAAAAGAGAGGGGGGAGGGGGCGCGAGAGAGAGATGGGGGGGGGGAGTGAGCAAGAGTGAGTGAGAGCAAGAGCGAGCTGATTCTACTGTAATATGGTGGGGCCTTCTGCAAAGTGCATTTAGTACGGTACATCAAGTAATTTTTAATTACACAAATTTCCACATACTGGATAAAATTATTAGGTATTTCTAACTATCCTGATTGGCATTGAAATGTACCCAATAGAAAGTCTATTAATTAGCCTATAGGTGCAAACATATGATTTCAGTGCTATATTATGTAATTAGGATAAATATAAATAATAATTTAGGTGTGTTGTTTGTACATACATTTTAGCTCTTGTTCAGAGTAATCGGCTAGCACATATATATACAGGTTTATCTTGTGTTTTCAGCTGCACTTTGTCATGGATGTTCTGGAGGTGGGGCGCATGCATAAAGGGGTCATCGTATTGCTTGAAGAAGACCACTATGTGGCCCCAGACTTCATACACCTACTCAACCTCATGATCACTACACAAATGCGGTATGAATGCATGCTTATTGCGAGATCTTATCTACTTAAACATCATTGATAAATTCTCATTGTTTTGCTTCAGTTTGCTTGTGTGTGCAATCTCCACGTCTAAATCTGATGTTATGCAAGTTTAAGAATGTTCCCTCAGAGATATGGAGAAGTAACACATATTTAATTTAACCTACATCCTTAATATTTTTTAACTGAGCTATACGGCTGAGCGAGCTAGACTTGCCGCCTTGGATGTTGCTGGTAGTTCTGTCAAGCTCACCCAGTTTGTATACATGTTTTTCACACATGCATGCCACAATATTGACTCAGCAGCACCTCATTCCTAGGCATTGTTTTTAAAATCTCCTATTACCAGGCTTTCATTTTTAAGGGGCGCGATCGCGCTCGCGCTCCACCGCGCACCATAAATTGCGCCATGGTGCGCGCATCATCGCGCCTCATAAAAGTGGTTGAAATCGCGCACCAAAAGTCTGTGTATTATGTTGAAATAGCGCTCCATTTTACAGGGATGAGAATCTTCGCGGTATCCGCGGAAACCGCCCCCCGGATTCTTCACAGTCCCAGGGTCGATTTTGTAACGTCTAAATCCGTCTGAGAGAAAACTTTATAGGGGGTTAGAATGCTACAATTTTTCATTATTACAGCTCCAACAGCTTACTATACAGTACCTTCATTAATACCATTGTGAATATAGTGTTGCTTTACAATAATAGAACACGCGCTTAGCTCACTGTTGTGAGATTGTCAGACGTTGTGCCAAGTGTGTTGCGGTTATATTCGACGCCTCGCACAGTGTGTGTGTGTTGTGTATGCCGCGCTGCACTACGACAGGCCGTCATATATAGTTTACGCGATCGATCGATCGTGTACATCAAAGCCGCGCGTCACCGCGTCGCCTTGGAGGCTAGTTTTCACCTGTCCATAGAGTTGCAATTGAACCGCGAGCCCTTGACTGGAGTATCTAATTCTAGGCCCAAACTCTGTTTTCGTAGCCATGAGAATGCAGCTGTTCATACACCCTTTTTGTATCTTAAAACAATGGCAGACCTTTTAAGCGGTGTTGAATTCTTAGTGGAGCCTCTCCATCATGCCTCTTAAGGGTGTGATTTTTTAATGGAGCTCTTCATCATGCCTCTTAAGGGTGTGATTATGGAGCGTGAAAAGTCCCCCTATGGTGTTCTAGGGGAGTCATTAGTAGTCCTCCTGTACTTTTCAAATCTGAAAGCCTGTATTACTTTACAGATTGGGTTTAGTTGCTAGTCAGTCATGCCAAGTGGAGCAGTCGATTGCTTTGTAACAAATATACCCAGTTTCTTCATTTCATTTTTGTGTCATTTCTAGCACAAGAAAAATGGGTGTTAATTTGACCCGACATCCACATATTTTACCTTGGAAGTTGCTTCTCAGTTCCATGCTTGTAGTATAGTGCATGAAAAAATATATGGCTGTAGTTTTTCTCATAGACACAAAATATGGGCTTTCATATTCATTTTCATTAGGTGAAATGCTGAGCCAAACAGTGAACTAAGTATCGATGCCTACAGATTTGTTCATTCACATGTTTATTATCAAGAACACATAAACTATACTATACAGTGAATAGCACAACAATTACAGTTGAAAACCATGTCTTGGTTTCTGTCGAATTAGGTAACGTTACACACATAGTTTGAACGATAAGTATAAGCTTTTTAGGTATCAAAAGTGTGGAAATACTTGTGATAATCGACGATACACATAGTCCTTACGCACTTCCAGCCAGACTTGGGAACGTTGCGTGGACAAGCAGTTGGTCTGATTGGTTCAAACTGATTGTTAATTTTATAGTATATTGTTTACATTATGTGTGTAACGTTACTTAATTTAACTGAATATAACCTAAGATATGGTAAAACTATATATAAAGTAATAAATAATGAAATGAAAATGTAAAAAAGATGTCTAGAATTTAACCATAGCTGATTATTAATAAAGTGGTATATAGTTTGTTCTATGTTCATATCAGTATGTAATTCGGGTGAAACTAAGATATGGTTTGGTTTGGTAAGCGATAATTTATTATTATGAAAGCTTGGTTTGTTTGCAAAAATCTTTATATATTTCATGGAGGCAACAGATACATAATTGAATTTTCAGCCATATAGCTTGATGTTAGTTTTCTCGTTCAGTGCCCAACTTCTCTAGCTGTCTTTACTGCCGTAAATGGATGGGATAGAATACATAAGGCATAAATACTCAAAGGTGCGTGGGTTTGGGTTAGATCATGGAGATATTAAAAATTTGCTAGGCTTATGAATTATGCATGTTGGCATACTGGTGTGTGTGTGAGAAGATGAAGCTGCATGTGTTGTCTCTGTAAGACTTGGAGAATCAAGGACTGTTAATGAAGTTAAGGAATGTTCACGAATTATTGTTCGTCACTGGGTTCAGTGGTTAATTCAGCTATTCTGTTTGAAATATTATGGAATATGCAATTTATAGAATATTCGTAGAAATAACTTGTTAAGTGAAATCAGTACTTATTGTTATTGTATTTGTTGATCTTTTTTATTTATTTCTATTTTAGTTCTCATCCTGCCATCAATATTCTAAACCTTGGCAACTACCAGAAGAGACCAAATTTTCCTCGCTACTACAACACGGTATGTAGCCATCAAGCTTGCAATGTTGAGGCAAATGTTCATTTTGTTGTGCCATGATATACACAAAGAAACTACGCAAAACTAAATGGTAATGAATGTGCTAGTTAGCAAACATGTCTGTTATGCAGAGCTATATTGTGCATTATGTATGTGATTTCCTTGACTCTCTGTTGTTGCCATGTCATGCCTGTTCCACTCTGAGAATTTATAAATTATTGACTATAGACATAAATTACATTCAGTCAGAAGCACCTATTGTGCAGGCACACCTGCAAAGCCATATTGAATGCATCTAACATTGAGGTAATTTCAATTATTAATTTCATAACATCATAAATGCTGCTACAATGGTGTACGGGCATAAAATGTGATGTTATAGCAATGGGAAGGCCTGTTTTCGTTTAATTTTGTTTTATATGGAAGTCATATAAAATGTGTTGCGTCCCTATATCATGTTATCAGAGACCCTCTATGCATGTGTCTATGCATGGTTTCATGCGTTCTTACGTGTATCCCTCAAAATTATTGCTGATAGGGTCTATGTCCTCCAGGGTACTATCGGAGGGTACCCTGGGTACGGTTTGATATATCGGAAAGTACCTTGGGGTCTGCAATCTGGGGTCCAGTCGCTGCATACCCTGCATTGACCCACCGTACCCTGACTTTATGCTCCCGTTCCTTGTTTCCGGTCCGTTTCCGCAAAATGTTCGTTTCAGTATTCGCATTTCTTCTGGAAATTGTATGTATCACCGTGCAATTATGCAACATGCAGGTTGATAGCACTGTTGTGCCCGTTGGTGGTGTACATTTGGAAAGATTTCTCTCAGATCATGAATATTTGCATGATATTAAAATGAATATGAAAATGAAAATAGGAATATATGAAAAAGGAAAAAGAAAAATATAGTCAAACATAGCATACATTTTTATTGGATTGCGATGTTTTGAGGTTTCTTCTATGTGATGTGGTAACTTGACAGAGTGTATGTATTACGACATCAGTTGGCTGAAAGTCAGGGTACGGTGGGACAATGCAGGGTACGCAGCGACATATCGTATAGTACCCCGAGGTACTTTCCGATATATCGAACCGTACCCAGGGTACCCTCCGATAGTACCCTGGGGGACATAGACCCTATCAGCAAAATTATTGCCACACACCTAAATCTTTCATATATTTATAAGTAATGTGAGCATGATGTGGTAATCACATACGTACTTCCGACATACAGTATTACCATGACTGTTGCTAAGGAAGTATTACTATGGCTTGCTACCTGCAACAATAACAAAAAATGTTTATATTCTATTAGAACTGTCCATCAGCATAAGTGTCGTTCTGTCTTTAGAAAGCATTGCAGTCCAAGTCTTGGTCCAAGAGTCACCCTCTTTGTCAGTTTAAGTATTCAATATTATGGATGTATAGGTGCAGAGGTAACAGAGCTGTATCATTTTTATTATAATGTGGCAAGTAGACCTGCCCTTATATCAAAATACCATAAAAGTTTCCATATTTAAATAAAACTACACATTGAAATTGGGATTAGATTGCAAGCTACATGTAAGTTTGAAAAGCAATGACATTGATATAATGCAATTTTGTTAAAAGCTGAGGTCCTTCACAATTAATCTCGTTCACAATTAATTATTGATAACAATTAACAATTAATGCATGCAGTGGTAATGGCATAGTAATCAAATAATCACTTACAATTGATGCATGGGTGATAGTACACATGTCTTGCTCATGTCGTTCTTCCTTTATTATTCTGCTTGTGTTATCACGGTATTGTGGTGCATAGACAAGTATACCCCGATGAGAGCACAAAATTCAAATTAAACTCACCAATGTTTACGATATTGTCAGTGAACATCCAATAAACATATAACTAGATAGGTTGTCGACAGGGTCTGTTATTTGAAAATTTCAGACGGAATTACCTGGCTATAAAAAATATAACATTTGTTTAAACAACACACTGCTTGCACCCGATGTATGATCCTATGTTCTATGAAGGAATGATTCGATTTCTTTTGGCTGTTTTGAAGTAACATAACAAAACTTTGATGTAAGAAGTGGTATAGTTTTATTTTACCTTATTTTATTATTTTATTTATTTACCTTATTTTAGCTTTGTGGCTTCTATCCAAAGCTTTATTACCATTAAGAGAATGGGTATGAAAACACCCATGGTCGATATTAAACACAGCACTAGTTTTCATAGTAAACCTGCGTAATCACTTGGTAAACCTACCGTGTGTATCAACCCACAATCAACAAATTTGTATCTTATTCTAATGATGTTACGTTTCTCACAGGACTCTCTCTGGTCATGAAATTCATTTATTTGTCTTCTATATATGCTGTCTTGTTTTCTTCACAGTATTCTATAGAGATGTGGAGGTCTAGTGAACACAACATGGGAATGGTGCTATTCCGTGACACATGGAAAACCTTGGTTAACCACACTGAAGTATGTTATTATGTAGTGGAAAGTCATTTGGTTGCATTTCCAATTTAGTTAGGTTGTATGGGTTCCTTCATATGCTACATTACATCCTAACTAGTTGTTAAAATGAGAGTAAACTCCTTGGTAGACAATGGAATTGTGTTAATAAGGTAGCTGAATCTGTGAAAACAGAATATATTGAAAAAATAATTTTAAAACTTGCAGGCAGGGGCGTAGATAGCGGGGGGGATGCATCCCCCCCCCACTTATTGACGTGGGGGATGGCGTGTACAATCATCCCCCCCCCTACTTTCAGGAGGAAAATGGGGGATTCAAAATTTTCTGGGGGAGGACCCGCATACCCCCGCCTGTTTCTTACCACCCTCCTCTAAAACCTGCATTGGCCACTGTCGAGCGTAACAAATTGAGCACCCCCACTTCAAAAATTGTTCCGCGGCACCTGTAGAGTACTGCTAACAAAGATTATGATTATGAATATTTGTATGCATATCAAAAGTCAAATTTTAGTTTATCTGACAGGGCGTAGATAGCGGGGGGATGGGGGTATACCGTATAACCCCCCACACTTATTGAGGTGGGGTGGCTTTCATCCCCCCTACTTTCAGGAAGAATATATACTGGTTATTTATCTACAAATCTGTCATTGCTATTCATACTCTCCTAATGTATTATTACAGAAATGGAACGTGACATACATCTACTGTTAAATGGCTGTAACTTGTTCCAAGAATGACATTATTTTACTGAAACTCGGACGGTTAATTTTGGATGGGTTCCCCATATAGGATTTTTTTCTCAAAATTCCCAGTCTTATCACTGCTCACGAAAGTTAAAGTTAGGGGGGGGGGGTAGCACGGGGTGGTTGCCCCCCCCCCTATAATTTTCAGGGCAAAGGTATTTTAGCCTAGGTAAGTCTGCACTGGTAACCCCAGTGAGGACATGTACATAGCACAGATTTGGTAGTAAGTATTTTAGTCTTTGGTGTCCCCAAAGGTAAAAATACTCAACTCAACAGTGATGTTATTGTGATGAAGATTGTCTAATAGTGCTGCCTCATAGTGCAGTTGCATATAGGGGGGTTGCGTGTTATTAAACCTCTGGGATCCAAAGAAAAAAATGACAATATCAATTTTTTTCTATTCCCTCAAAAACGCCATCTTGAAGGTTCTAAATTGCTAAAATCCAAGAGCTTCCGGGGGCTCCGCCCCCTGGACCCCACCAGCCTAAAAATAACTTCTTTTTTTACGAGAGCTCTTTTTTGATTTTGTATGAAAAAAAGAGCTCTCGTAATATTTTTTACGGGAGCTATTTTAGGCTTGGCCAGAGCTACTTTTTCATAGCATGATTTTATTAAAATTTTCATAATTTTGATGCACTGACTCTAATTAATATCATTCATCAGCATTCAGCACTCAGCACCAGTATCAGACTATCAGTGTTAAGAAATCGTCAACAAATTACATTCGATCACATTTTTTTAAATCTTATTTTACTCGACTAAGAAACCAATCACATTCTTATTCAATTTCATTCACACAGACAGACATGCACTACACAGTACACATAGTCAGGTAACATGACAAAGACAGGAAATCAAGAATTATAATCATGGTAATGATGGTATGGTTAATTTCAAGTTTCTTTTTTTTACTTTATTTCTTTTCATCTTTCAACTTTATTTTTACATCGACTGAGCAAGTTCAGAACTTCAGAGAACATTGACTGAGCAAGTTCAGAACTTCAGAGAGAGTTTTTAGTTACTTTGAGTATGTTAAAAAAGACTTGTACTGGAATCTCTAGGAATGCCAGGAGCTTCTGGGTAAGGTTTTACTTTCGTTTTTCTCCTCCCCAGTCCACGGTACGTACCCCCCATGCATAGATCAATGCTGCCGCACATCCGCAAAGTTACAAGTGCCTAGAATCTTTTTAAGTATATATAGGGTTTACGTTGCTTCTAGATATCTAACTGAATAAAAATAATTCACTTTCTACAATTCAGTGACGAATTCAGTTAACAGCTTTGGTTACGTGCGTGTCTGGTGTCACTGGTCGTGCCCTCACTCCCCACGATAATTAACCCCTGCGATATAAAAACTTATTGTTAATGACCGAGCAAAAACTTGGTGGGCTCGGGCCTCGGTGGTCGGAACTAATTTCTAACGCTGCCGGCGGCACGGGAGCGATTTTTTCTCGTATCTTCTAAAATTGTCGCTCTCGTAATTGTTGTTACCAGAGCGCTTTGAATGCTGACGGGAGCGAAATCGCTCGCCGCTCCCGTGTATTTTTTTCGCTGGTCACCCCACCCATTAAGGGCTTTGCGCCAAGGCACTCGCGGTGTGCGCTACTCGCGTACACTCTTCATATACATTGTGATGGAAGTAACAGCGAAATCATCCTCCCCACAACTGAGGACCTGTCTATGCCACTGCTTGCAGGCAGCTATAAAATCTTGTTGCTGGTACCATTTCATTAATTAACACGAGGTAATAGATTAAATAGTGATGTGTATTGTAAAAAAGTGCATGAGATTCTCTTAAAAAGTTAAGTTAAATCCCTTCCCGTGCCTATGTGGCACATAGGGTGGTGCCTATCTCCGTTTCCTCAAGCCGAGGCCATGCAGCTGCTTTCACAGTAAATACTACAGCGTGGGTTTAGTCCACTGGTAGCACTGCAAGTTAACTTTCCGCGCTCTATCTCTATGTGCTGAGTGCTAAGCAGAGAAGCAGTATGTACCATTTTTCAAGTCTTTGGTATGACCCGGCCGAGAGTCGAACCCCCAACCTTCCGTATTCTCTTTGTGTTGCTTTATGTTGTGTCTATTGAGCCTTCAGTTTGTATAACAATCAATCAACGCTAATCATCATATTACGAGTATTAATATTTGATGAAGAACATATTGATTTTCCTACTGAATTACAGCGTGCACCAGAGCTTTAAAGATAATGAGATAACTACACCTGTTTGTGTTGCAGGCTTTCTGCAAGTACGATGACTATAATTGGGACTGGACACTCATGCATATCAGCCAGAATCTTATGAGTCCATCGCTGCGTGTCATGTACCTACGGGCACCACGCATATTCCACATTGGTGATTGGTAAGAGGAACTTCATTTGCCTATGCCTCATTAAGCTGCATCTTATGACAAGATCTGGAGGGATCCATCAAATCAGAAGTGAACCAAAAAATTGTGTGCAAAAATACAGCATGGCATTTGATGTAGATCGTTCCATGAAAATAGAACCAATATTGCTCTCTGAAAATCAATGTTATCCACTGAGTGCACAATCTATTTATAGCCAGTCTGTGAATTTCCCTTCAACAATTTGTTTTCCTGGCACATTACGAGCTCTACACCAGTTACAGTGCAGAGTTTTTTTTACAGCTAGGTAACAATCTTTGATATTTGTCATGTTTTATTCCTGATTGAAGCTTTAAGATTTCAGTGTATATACTCAGATTTCTCCATCGGTTAGTGATACACATTTCTCCCTGTTGCAGTGGTATGCACAAGAAGGGAACAAAGTGTGACCCAGTACCTACTGTAAGTAAATATGAGGGTCTGCTCAATGGGCTAACCAAGTTCCTCTTCCCAGACTCCATTGTGCTCACGAACAATCCTGTCAGGAAGCTGCGTAAGCTGAAGCCTAACGGAGGCTGGGGTGATCCACGGGACCACCAGCTTTGCCTTAATTACAGTCAGTCAGCCACAGTATAACGGACTGCGTGCCATGCCTAAGGAAGAAAAAAGCCTTGTTACATACACATATAGCAGTAATTGCATTTTTCATCTACAGGACACGTGTTGGTCAGGGGAATAAAATAGTTAAATTCTTATTTCAATTAAGAAAGCAATGGGCATCTATTCATAAAAAGTGTGTAGATATTCTTGGAATAAAGATGACAAGGTGGTGCACTCTAACGCAGCTGGGTGAATGATGTCCCTTACGTGCTGGTCGCCTCACATATTTGTGCTATGATGAGCATGCTAACAGTATGTTGCATTTTGTGCTGATGTGTGGATGACACAACTTAATATTTGAAGTGGAATGATTTTGGAATTTAGTGCAGTTTAGGTATATCATAAATTGAGTTTCAAATTGCATTGATAGTGAACCAAATGTCAAAGAAATGGTTTATTAGCACAATGAGCGAAAAAAAATTGGCTGAAAGGTTGTTTTCCTGGACACTGTCGAACGTACTCTGGGTATGCACCGATATGCAGCTACACTCTCTGATATATTTTCTCATGATATTTACATGGCAACATTATACCAGATATTACTGCAGTGCACTGTGATATACCTGACCATCCCAATAGTACGTTTCGACAGTACCAATTAAGTGACTGAAAACACTCCGTAATATGCTGATATCATCAGGAGTCTATCAATATCAAAATCATCTTTTAGCCATTCTTTAGTATAAGTAATGTGCAATTGCGAGTTGGTTTTGACTTGGGGTGCAATGGTGTAAACGAGCTTAATGTAGCTGAGAGGGTCTATGTCCCCCAGGGTACTGCCGGAACGTACCCTGGGTACGGTCCGGTACACCGGAACATACCCTGGTACTATCTAATATGCCGGACCATACCTCGCCTACTCCACTAACGAGTCTAGGGAGTCGCCTACGCCTACTCCCTAACCCTAACCCTAACTCTAACCCTAACCATATCAGATAGTTACCAGGGTACGTTCCGGTATACCGGACCGTACCCTGGGTACGTTCTGGCGGTACCCTGGGGGACATAGACCCTATGAGCCTTAATGTATACTGGCATAATTGTTATTTATGAAAATTACGACTGGCAATTCTAGTGTGATCAAATTTATTTCGTTTGCTTTTCATTGACAGCCAGGCATGTCTTATAAAATGTCCAAGTAACATTACATCAGTAGTGAATAAAAACAGAACTTGTTTTTATTCACCCTTGATTACATCGGTTTTTTTCGTTTACGTAAATAAGTCATTTCTTTGTCTTTGCTTTTCTAATAATGCAGCTCTAAGCTAAACGACTTTTTCCACATGAAGATATTTTTGTAATCGGTTGTAAGAGTATATGTTTTATATGTATACATGATTGAAATATATATATAAAGGTGGGTTAATTTGGGCTAGAGCTGGAATTTTGAGATCTCCTATTAGCTGTGCCATCACTGTCTGTACCTAGTACCTAACAGTCTTCAATGTTACGTTTACAAATAGTCTGAAAGAAACATCGCACTGTTCATGGTTTACTCGTGGCTAGGCGTCTTCAGCATATATGGTCCACTTGTTATTGTTATTAGTAAACAGGTTATTTTGTCACTAATTTCCATTCACAATTTTTGTTTATTATAGCCGACAACTAAACAGCAAATAAAACACCAGGAACTACTTGTTTCATTTAAACTACTTGTTTCATTGACATGCATCCTACAACATTCCATCGCATACTATTATAAATGATTCATGTCAGTAGATTCGTCATTGTTGAAATATAATGAATTTTGGCTGTACTGTGTAATCCTGGTAGACACATGTGACGTCACATGACCTAGATTACTATTCAGGTGTTTATTACTAATTAGGCGCCCGATTTGAAATGGAATACGTTATTGAATGTATTTCTATGTATAAAAACGTTACAGAAGTTAGAAAATTTGACTTCAATTGTCTTTTAAGAACTAAAGATCTATTTGACGTTTAAGGGCGGGACACACTAGGCGATTTTATAGGGCGACTCAATCGCCGGTTATAATCGCCTAATGTGTCCAGTCAGTCGCCGCCGATTTAGTCGCCCGATTCAATTGCATCGATCAAAACGTTTTGATATTATCGGGCGATTATTTCAGTCGCGCGACTCAATCGCCTAGTGTGTCCACTCGACTTGCGCGATAGAATCGGGCGATATTATCGGGCGATAAAGTCGCCCGATTAGATAGCATTAAAATCGCCTAGTGTGTCCGGCCCGTTAGGTGCTCTAATAGAACAAAATTTATTATCTCATGCTCAAGTAGACTGTTACATGTGGCAATGCAGCATAGTTGTTCATAGTTAGCACCCTTTCGTCTTTCATTTGAACGTTTGTAATTGGTGTTTCTAGTTATGTCTTTAAGTTCTTGCCTTGTTATCATCGATGTCGAATCACATTACTGCAAATGATAGGATGCCATCACAATGACGTATTCATTTTCTAATGGAGTACTTTTTGCTGAAATGGAGTGGGTTCAATGATTAATAATCTTCTAGCAAACGATGTTTTCCCCATCTGGTAACGTGTCTATCAAATCTTACTCTGGTGATGAAGGATAGTGACATGTGAGGGCATTGCTCCTGTGGCGGCAGTTTGAACATACAGCTCCTAATTGGTGGTTTACTATATTATAAGTCTTTGGAAAAAAAGTAAAGCCAAATATCACGTTTGATGCACTGTTGGTTAATCTGCTTTCCTGGTCAACCAGGCAGGTAGGTTGTCACTAGCTAGTCGCCGTTGTTAGGCGGTGCAAAGATTCGCATTATATCTGTTTGTTATTATGTGAATTCGTCCATGTTGTTCTCTGTACAACTTCCTTCTGTTAGCATCTGTAACGTCGATAGTATTGTAAATCTTGTACAGGCGAAAAGGTTTGGAAAATAAATTTTGAAAAAAAGCTATTATATGAATCCATATTTCTTCGTGTAAGAAGACAACAGGGCGTCAAGTGACAAGTGACGCTCAAAAAATAGGAAAATAGGAATTTCAGATGTGAAAAAATAGGAGGAAAATAGGAATTTTGGTGAGAAAATATGTTAAATAGGAATATTTGTTGCGTTAGATGGCCTCCCAACACCCCTACAGCCATCCCGATCCACCACAAATGGTTTTATTAATATACATATTTGAAGTTAAATCACATGCGAACAATATTTTGAGGTTTTAATGAGAAATGCATGTTAAAATTGATAAGCAGTTTATACATGTAGACTACTCCAAAATAGTATGACGTACATGTATACATGGGCGGATCCGGCTTTTTGAAAAAGGGGCGGGGACCCCCCTTTTTCAAAAAAGCCAGGATCCGCGCCATGATTATACATGTACGTCATTACTATTTTAGTGTCTGTTATTAGGGTGCCGCGGGCTACGCGCACCGCACGTCTGTTATTTTTCTGCTGCAGTAATAAGAAATTAAAGGGCAACTTTTTTATAAAAAGGTGACGAATGCAGCTTATGCGGCGGTGTCTTAAGGACGTTGCCACTTAGGGGGGGGGAGGGGGGTTAGGGCGGACCTCTCAAGACAAATTTTTAAAATTGGTGCATTCTGTTGAGCAGCATCTGCAGCAGTATTTGATGTCTTAAAATGCTAAGATGAATTTCAAATTTTCTTAAGCCAAGGAATAATTATCTTTATGTGTTTTTCCTTTTTTTTGGGGTAGACCCCACATCTGGATACATCATACACATCCAACTGGAGAAAAACTTTACTTGAAATAAATCTGTGATAGTAAAGAGTATATTACGTAATTTAAAGTAAGAGTGGGGCTGGGGTCCGCCCAGGCAATTTTGAAAATTGGGTCACCTGAAATGTAAATTCCTGCAATCTGGAGAATGATACATACAATTCTGGCATTCAGAAAAAACTAGTCCATGCCCGTTTTAGGTTGGCGTCAGAACTTCTGTGTAGACCACATTGTTCATGTATGGAACGTTTTAGTGTATTGTCATGGCTATTACAAGCTTAGAATATTTTAGCCTGCAGGCACTTCCCACACGGGCTTAGCAGTGGACGATAGAACTGGCCGTGACTGAAGAAGTGTTTTGACCGTGAGACACACACACACACAACACACACACACCACACACACACACACACAACACACACTACGTCGGCGCGCGCGCGCATTACACAAAACACACACACACACACCACGCGCGCGCTGCCATAACACACAACACACACACGCTTACAGGGTGCTTACCGAACTCACACACAAACACACACACACACACACGTCGCGCGCGCGCGCGCAGTACACAAACAGATACCAGACACGCGCGCACGCCATAACACACCACACACACACGCGCATACAACGACCCATACACACAACAACACACGCACACACACAACAGAGAGAAAACCTTGCCTGCAACATCAGGAGTTCTTGAAGCGGGCACTTCTTGCTGGGCGCGCTATCTTGTCGATGCTTAATATCATATTATATATATGCTTTGGTGGCATTAGCTGGGCACTTGTTATAACCAATTTTTAACCAATGCAAGAAACAATGTAAAAACAATGTATACAATTTCTCTGGTTAGATTCTCTGTAGATGGAGCGACTTAGAAAATCTTAGATGGAGCGCCTTTGGTTATACATTGTTTTTTACATTGCCATTGTGTTTTCGTGTTGTGACGTTGCACCGCGCTCGGTGCAAAAATTGTGCACTATTTTAATGTTTTTGAACGTGAAATGTGAACAAAATGAAACTGTGGAAAAAAATAGCCCATGCAACTTTTCATGATCTGTAGAATGTTCCGACCAAGTTTGGAGAGGATTCGTTGAGCGGTGCGGAAATGTATAGCCGGACACACGCACGCACGCACGCACGCACGCACGCACACAGAAAATCCCCAATTTATAGTAAGATAAAAAGCCCTCAAAAATAGGAAAAAATAGGAATTTGTCCAGAAAATATGAGAAAATAGGAATTGCCCAGAAAATAGGAAAAAATAGGAACTTGACGCCCTGAGACAATATAGCCTCATATTTACAGAAATATTTGCAAGATGCAGATGGTATCAAATCAAGCATTTTCACTTTAGCAAACCATTTTAGCAAAATACACATAGTACACAAACAAAATAACAAATTGCTTGCAGGTTTATTTTATTTTTAGAAGTGCATGCCTATAGTAAATTAAAATGCAGTTATGTCAATAGTATAAATTCACCTTGCTATTTTCACATTAATATTGTACAGGAACAAGCATACAGTAGTTAGACTTGTATATGGACGATTGTAGTATACATCATGTGATCGCCTACACATTTACATCTCATTGGCAATGCAGTTAGTGTCACAAGAACATGTTTGGTTAGGCCAATGTAAACTTTTATTGCTCCGTCTGTGACTTTATTTTCTATCATTGAAACAATAACATATTGAAAATGGCAAATAAGAATACGTGTTCCCACACGCATACACACAAGCACAACACTGGAAAACACTGAAACTAACTAAATTTTTAACCCTGATATAAGGTGTACCATACTTAACCGGCCATGCGCGTCAAACTAATGTCTTAACAAAATGTTGAAAATGGAAGACCTGGCATATACTACAACAATAAAAATATTGGGCTGTCTCAACATATATACATTAGTGAATTGTCAGATGCTGTTAAACAGACAACATACAAATTGATAAATGAGATATCCACATGAAATAAGATGCTTTGCACAGTACTATTTGTACAACGTGTGGGCTCTAACCAGATCTGATATTCAACCTATTATATAAAAATATCCATCACTTTTATACTCTATCTATTGACAAGATCAGCTAAAGCTGGGTTTACACTTCCAACTTTGTGTTGGCGAATTGGATAAACTTCCCAACTATACAACCGACAATCGGCAGTGTAAAGGCAAAAGTTGGGCGACCAATTAGAACATGTTCTATATTTTCACCAACTAGGAGTTGACGAATTGGAAAGTTGATCCAACTCGCCAATTCGCCAACATAAAGTCGGTAGTGCAAACCCAGTTTAATACTTGTGAAACTACCTACACATAATCTCATCAATAATAACCACGTGTATGTTACATACATGTTTTTACTATGACTCCGTATTTTTAATAAACAAGATATGGTAAAGGACTGTTTAGCCGCTACAATACTTTAAACCACAGCTGAGAGAATAACATATGATGACTTTCTTATAAGAGTGCAACGAACATCGTAGGCCTATATAAATTTAGAAAAAATAAATTTCACTTGTCATGGAGAATCCTAACCAAATCTTCTCGAATCTTCTTCATTTCCCCTCTCATCTTAATCCATATTCTAAAACTGGCAAGATATTGAAAATTATTTCTATATCATTTCATTTAATCGCACAAACGAATTCAACAAAAGACTCACTCCTATGGGAATTAATCAAATCCTTTATCAATGCTCAAGACAATGACATCGTAATGCACAAGTTGAATAAATTTCGGAAAAATAATGAAATAAAGATTTTCTTCTGGCAAGTACTTGCGCTCATAGGGTCTATGTCCCCCAGGGTACTGCCGGAATGTACTATGGTCCGGTATACCGGAACGTACCCTGGTAACTATCTGATATGGTTAGGGTTAGGGTTAGGGAGTAGGCGTAGGCGACTCCCTAGACTCGTTAGTGGAGTAGGCTAGGTACGGTCCGGCATATTAGATAGTACCAGGGTACGTTCCGGCAGTACCCTGGGGGACATAGACCCTCTCAGCAGTACTTGCGTCACCATACTTTTATTGCTTTAAACTGCAATAAGCATGTCTTGAGGGTGCATGCAGTGTGTCAACTCGCCTACACCTTAAAGAAGATTCAGGCCAGGTGTCTCTATCCCGAGAATCTGAAAATAAAGTCTGGTACATTACTTGTTATCACTGCTCTGTCTGCTGCTGCTGCTGCTGCTGCTGATGATGATGATGATGATGATGTACAGTGGCACTTTTGCCACACACAGCAATCACTACAGCTGATATAGAGGCAATATCACCACACACAGCAAGAAGCACTACAGCTGATATAATGGCAATATTACCATGCACAGCAAGCACTACAGCTGATATAATGGCAATATTACCATGCACAGCAAGCACTACAGCTGATATAATGGCAATATTACCATGCACAGCAAGCACTACAGCTGATATAATGGCAATATTACCATGCACAGCAAGC